CTGGGCACCGGCCTGCTGAGTGCACTCGGAGGGTAGAAGATGCTGTGCGCCGTGCCTCACTGTGAGTGTGGGACGCCACTAGCCGTGCGGAGAGAAGTAAATGGCTGTGCGGTATGTAATTGGATGCACTCCTTTCGTTGCGGCCGTGTGTTTGCGCATGGTTCTATCTTGCGGTGCGAGATATATGGCGTTGCTATTGCGTGTGCCCTTGTGTATGCGCTGTGCGGCGGGCATCTCTTCCACATGACTCCGCCCTTGTGTGTGGGAAAGCGGACGGAGTGGAGATGCGTGAGGGAGTGAGCGTGTCCGTTGTTTCCGCACATTTGCTTCTTCCACAAGTGGCACCACTCGGCAGCCTCTTGCAGCAGCAGGACGTGGATTGAGAGGATGTGAGGGTTTGCTCCAAGCAGAAGGACGACAAGACGCGGCGCATGATGGCCAACCTGATCGGCCGTGTGGTTGCGGCGCATGGAGCACGTGCGCCAGTACGCGTTGGGCGTTGCGCTCATGATTGCAGAGGAGAGGCGGCACGACGTTGTGGTGCTGTGTGTGTTGCGCGGCCGGGGCGTGCCGGCGATTGTGAGGGACGTGGAGGACACGGAGCTGCTTGACTGGGAGGAGGATGTGGCGGACGTTGCGGCGCAGCGGGAGCGCATGACGGCTGCGTGTGGTGAGAGGGCCCGACGATCCCGAGGCCTGTGCTGGAGGGGCGTGTTGAAGTGAGCGCGGCGTGCCTGTGAGGGCCTGAGGAGAGGGAATAACAGCAACAGTGACCGTGGGAGTGTGAGGAACGGTGCACGGCGAGGAGCGCTCCTCTTTTGTTTTGATTGTTGGTGAACCGCGCCCACCCAATTGTTTTTGTTGTGCGTGACTCTCATTGCTGGATGGGACGGTGCGTGGCAGTGTGACTTGTTTTTCCTTTTTGCTTTCACTCTGCGTTGACGGGGAGTTATTTTGTTCTGAAGGCTACACGCAAGTGACAGGAGTGATGGCGATGATGATGACCGGCCGTGTGCTGCTGGTGTGTGCCCTCTGCGTGCTGTGGTGCGGTGCCGGCGGTGTTTATGCGAGGGACGTTGACAACAGCGCAGTGGGTGGCTGCATGGCGTCAGGAGTGTTGGGTACGAGAAGATTGTATATGCCAAGATGTAACAAAACTGCTGTTACGCTGCCTTTGCGGCATGTCTTTCCCGTTTCTGCCGTTGGAGCCTCGACTGACGGAGAAGGAGATTCTGCTGGTGGTAGACAGAACAGTTCGAATTCAAGGGAGACTTCCGACGCTGGTTCTCCTGGTGGTGGTCCTGCTGCTGTTACTGGTCCTGGCTCTGCTGGTGGACCTGGTGGTGCTGGAGATTCTGGTGCTTCTTCTGGTGCCGGAGGCAGTGGAACTGCTGCTGGCGGTCACGGCGGTGGAGTCAGTTCTGCTGGAGATCAAGGCACCGACAGCGTTTCTTCTGGTCCTTCTGCTGTTGCTCCTCCTCCTCTTCCTTCCGCTGATCCTGGTGTTGATTCTCCTGCCTCTTCTGCTTCTCCTCCTGCTCCTCCTTCAGGTACTCCTGCCGGTTCTGGTGCTCCTCCTCCTCCCGCTACTCCTTCAGGTCCTCCTGATGCTACTGTTGTTGATTCTTCAACTAGCAGCAGTGGTGGTACAGCGGGGTCACCAGGCACTAATCCATCTAACACAACAGGAGAATCTCCAACAGGAGATCAGACGCCTGCTGCAGCAGCGGCTCACAACTCCTCGCTACCCGAAGGACCGGCAGGAACGACATCTGGCACTGGACAAAAAGAAAAACAAGAGGAAGAAGAGGAAGAAGAGGAAGATCATGAAAAGCAGCAGCAAAGTGATGAAGCACAAGTCCAACAGCAACAACAGCATGAACACCCCGCGGAAAACGGCGAAGAATCCGCGAAAGATAAAACCGCTAATGGTACAAATGCCACCGCAAATACAGGCGACAATGACAGCAGCACCGCGGTCTCCCACACCACCTCCCCTCTTTTGCTTCTTCTTGTTGTTGTTGCGTGTGCGGCTGCTGCTGCGGTGGTGGCCGCGTGAGAGTGAGGGAGAGAGAGCCGTGCACCGCCCGCACACACACTCGTCCTTCTCTCTCTGTGTGTGTCCCCTTGCATGGACTCTCGCCCTCACCTCACCCCACGAGGCACACACATAATGTGCCCATTGTATATATGCATGCACACCCATGCAGGCCCGTTGTTGCTCTCTTTTGCACGACACGCACCGCTGCCGTCCTGCCTGGCTGCATGGGCGGAGCACCGTAACTGTTTCTGTTTTGTTTTTATTGCATTGAGTGGGCGACCTCTCTCTCTCTCCCTCTGTGTGTGTGTTTTGCTTTACGGGAGCAATGAGAGTGTGTGTGCGCTGGTCGTCCCACGCTTCGGCTTTTTTCACTTTTTGTTTTTCATTGTTTTTTTGTAAATTTAATTTTTTTATCTGTTTGCTTAGAAATTTTTTGCTACTTTTTTAAAATTAATTTGTGCGTTTTAAATTTCTAATCCCCCATCCCTCTTTTTTTGCTTTTGGGGCAATCACTGTGGACGTTTTTCTTTTCGACTCTTCTCCCTTTTAATTGTTTCTTCCGCACTCTTCCTGTGAGGGGTGCCGTGTGTTTCCGCCCAACTGCTCCACTCGCACACCCACCGACACGCTCATGACGACGGCCCTGTGCGCCTCGCCTGCTGCACGCATGAGGAGGGGCCGCGACGAACGGCGCGCTGAGGGAGCCGTGACGTGTGGGCGTGCGACGAGGGCCTGTGGGGCGGAGCACACATTTCTTTCCCTCTTGTTTTGTTTTTATGCGGCCAGGGCTGGCAGACACCCGCAGCGCCACACACACAGCCACACCCTGCCGCCGTGTTTTTTCTTTTGCTGCGCTCACTCTCCCGATGGAGTGACGCGACCGCCGTCATGTCTGCGTGCTTCTCTCAGTCCCCACACACACGAGTGACTGCGCTCTGCGGGCCGCACTCACGCGCCGATGAGAGGGCTGAGGGGAGCAGCAACACGCCGATGACCCCATGAAATATAAACGATGTGCGGACACACAGAGGGTCGGACGGCTGAAAGACACTTAAATATCTTTTAATTTTCTTTTGCGGGCAAAATATATGCAGACAGTTTGGCGTGGCCACACGGCAGCCGGCTGTTTTTTAAATTTGTGTGGAACAGTAATGGACGGTTTCTTTTTTATTTATAATTATTTTGTGTGATGGGGTTTGTGTAAGACGAAGGAAAGGTTTCTTTTTTTTGTTTTAAATAAATCTTGTGTGAATTGCCGCTGCTTGGGCTGCAGTGCAGTCATGAGTTTGAGCGGTCTTCTTGTTGTTGTTTTCGCCACGCACCTCCGCTGTACATTTTAGTTTTTTGCGTCTCTCCACATACTCTGCTTTCTTCTTTGCTTTGTGTTTCTGCAGGCACACACACACAAGATGCACATTGCAGTGGATTTGAATGCTCCTTTTGCAGCGCATGCTGGCAGCTGCGTGTGGCGACTGTTGTCTTCTTCCGTTTGTATGTGGCGGCTGCTGGGAGTGCTGGAGATGTATCTGGTGATGCGGATGCGGTGGTTGTGCCGGTGGATGTGTCGTGTGCTCCGAGTGACGGCAGCCTGAGCTATCGAGTGCGTGTGTGTGTGTGTATGGAAGAATTGTTCTGCTGCCATTGCTGAAGCTCAGCATGAGCATTACACTTTCAGTGGCTTTGATGTGCGCATGCACAGCAGGAATGGTGAGCTGTGTGCTGTGTGTCATGTGGCCGATGCGGTGCACACATGTAGCAGCTGTGCTGCCAGCTGTGCAAGGAAAGAGGAAGGGGCCACCGTTGCCTTCACGATGAATGTGATGGCACACAAATACGCCGGCCCTTATGAATTGTGGTGGCGTCAATTTTCCCCGATGGAACCATCCATCCGCCTGCACGGAGCAGCGATGCTGACCTGACGGCATCCGTCAGTTGCCGCCACCCCGTGAAGGGAAGGATGACACAAAATCTGGTGGGACAACTGCGCCGCAAGTGAATGCTGGGCCGTCACGTCAGAACGAGGATTGGCGACAGTCTGCGGCGGCTGACGGACCCAACACCGTCGATCGGAGTCCCGCATCCAACGCGGCGACCAACACGTCCGAGACGAAGCCAGAGTTTGCCACCGATCCGAACGAAATGATGGTCCCGAATGCATCCACGAAGAGGCCTTCCTTTGCCAACGGTCCGAGAATATTAGTGGCGCCGAATGTATCCGGGATCATGTCTGTCACTTGTGGCGGCAGGGAACACGTTGCTGCGGATAACACGGACGAGGCGACTGAGCGCAACGCCACCGGACACAAATCTCTAGTTTTAGAAAATGGCGTTGCGGGCAGTGGATTTGTTGCTGAGGGTGATGCGGACGGATTGAGTCAACGCAATGCCTGTGGACACGAGAGCAAACCCCAATTGCGAGAATTCACCGCGCAGTATTCCGGGAGCGGTGTGAGTCCCGACGACTGCTTTGCTCTGCTCAACTTCGCTAAATTGACACTGCGCGAGTTAACTGTTGACGGCACTGTGCGTGTGTGCGTGTATTGGGTATTGCTGCTTCTTCTGGGATTGTGTGGAGTTGTGACGGTCTTGTGAGCCGAAGAGTGTGGAATTGCGGCTCCTCGCAGAGAACTTGTGCCGCGTTCCCTTCGTGTTTTCTTTTATTATTTACATTTCACTGTTTGTTTTGTTGTTTTCCTGGAATAATACGTATCGTTGCCGTTCCTTTATTTAATTGTCGGTTGCTGCACACTGTCATGTGTGACTTATTTCCCCTCTTGTTCTGTTTTTATTTGCCCACACGCGGTGCCGGCCCCACGGCTGTGCGTTTCACGGACTGCACGAAAGGAGGAATGGAGGAACAGGCCGGATGCCGCGATGAAATGTGAGGGTGTTGTGTGGCCTGGTGGAACAGGACGATCTTTTTTATTTGATTTATTTTTTCGGTGCGGGTGTTATGTATACACAGACACACAAATGGTCGTTTTATTGTGCCGTATGGCATATGAAATGAAAGTCGTGCCTGATCGATGTTTCATATTTTTTTTCACTTTTTGGGAGTCCTGCCGGACACTCAACTCTGTTTTTCCTTGCAAAACTTCTGGTTTGCAGGGCGGTGTGCAAATTCTGCAGTTGTAACGATTCCAACTACCCCATGGTGTGTGCTGCCGCTGGGCTGCTTTTGCAGTTGTCATTTGTCACTTTGCGGTGGCTGTGTGGTGTAGAGGCCGTCTCTCTCCTTTTTGCTTTCACTCTGCGTTGACGTGTTGTTAGTTTGTGCTGAAGGCTACACGCAAGTGACAGGAGTGATGGCGATAATGACTGGCCGTGTGCTGCTGGTGTGTGCCCTCTGCGTGCTGTGGTGCGGTGCCGGCGGTAGGTGTGACGATGGACTGGTGGAGACGGCAGTTCGTGGGAGTCGTGCTGAACTTCCGCCGGCACCAGCAGAACTTGCAACGCCTCCAGTAGGCTCCCAAGGCTTAACACATGGAGTATTAGGTGTTACTGACAAATTGTCACCCGCATCTTCCATACCTAGAAAGGATGATGAAGAAGATGAAGAAGATAATAGTGACGATGATGAAGATGAAGAGACGGATGAGGCTGGAAAAAAAATACTGAAAGGCAGGGTGATCAAGGAGGAACAGCTGCACCAGACTCAGGTTCCAGGGAAAAGAATTTAAGTGACAGCAAGAAGGAGACAGGCCAGGCAATTATATCTGCAGAGGACATTTCTCCTTCCGGCAGTCAGGAATCAAATGCCAATCCTACGCAAGCAAAGATCAAAGAAAAGAAAGACTCCGACGAAAATACACCTGCGGCAGGGAATCCACTCACAACAGTTAACGGAGAGCAAACACTGCCTGCGGAAGGAAATCCTCCACCACCTCCAGAAGACGGTGTTGACTCCCGCGAACAGGATGGCGAAGAAACCACTGGAGAAGATAAAAAAAATGTTCCGTCGCCTGAGACCGCGGCCACACCACAAAGCCACCGAGACAAAGGCTCAGGAGGGACTGGGAAAGGTACAAAAGCAACGACAGTAACCGCCAACACAACTGATACAACGAACACACAAAACAGTGACGGCAGCACCGCGGTCTCCCACACCACCTCCCCTCTTTTGCTTCTTCTTCTTGCTGTTGCGTGTGCGGCTGCTGCGGTGGTGGTGGCCGCGTGAGAGTGAGGGAGAGAGAGCCGTGCACCGCCCGCACACACACTCGTCCTTCTCTCTCTGTGTGTGTGTCCCCCTGCATGGACTCTCGCCCTCACCTCACCCCACGAGGCACACACAATAATGTGCCCATTGTATATATGCATGCACACCCATGCAGGCCCGTTGGTGCTCTCTTTTGCACGACACGCACCGCTGCCGTCCTGCCTGGCTGCATGGACGGAGCACCGTAACTGTTTCTGTTTTGTTTTTATTGCATTGAGTGGGCGACCTCTCTCTCTCTCTCCCTCTGTGTGTGTGTTTTGCTTTACGGGAGTAATGAGAGTGTGTGCGCTGGTCGTCCCACGCTTCGGCTTTTTGTTGTTTTATTGTTTTACTTGTGTTGTGGTTGTGTGCACCCATTACTTTTTTTTTTTGATTGGCAGTTTTATTTGACTGCGTACGCATGATTTTTATTGATTTTTCTTTTGAGATATTGTCACTGCTTCTTATTCCTGTCAAGCCATTAAATGTTTTCTGCTACAGCATGCGTCAGTTGATCCACGTCGCCCCACGCTCTGCAGTGCTGCCGGTGCTTCTGGTTGTGATGATGTTTGTGATGTGTTGTGCCGGCGGGCGCTTTGCTGCCAGCCTGACGTACTCCTGCTCCTCTGACAAGGCGATGCGTGCGGACAGGGCGAAGTCGATCCCGGCTGTGGTGAGGGACGTGCCTTTTGGATATGAGGGTGCGTCGCAGACATGCACCGTCATTGGGAGGAATGGATGGGCGCCCACCCGCATCGATGTGTCGACAAGGGACGTGGATGGTACCAGGAAGTATTGCAGCTCAGAGTGGTATTGCGCAATG